CACACACACACACACACACACACACACACACACACAACCCCGTTCAGCTATCTTAGTGAGGACCGTCATTGACATAATGCTTTCCCTGGCCCCTTACCCTAACCCTAACCATTAAAAATGAATGCCTAACCCTAACCCTTACCCTAAACCTAACCATAACCTAATTGTAACCCTGACACTAAAACCACATTTTGAGCCTCAAAAATGCCTTTAAATGCCTTCAAAAATGTGAGGACCGGGTTGTGTATCCTCACAAGTGACTGCTGGTTCTCACAAGTGTGGTAGAATGCAGATTTCGGTCCTCACAAAGATAGCTGGACAGGAACACACACACACACACACACACACACACACACACACACACACACACACACACATATATTCTGTCTTTATGAGGACACCCATGGACTCCTTTTCCCTTTATTATGATAAGTAACCACCAAAACCTGGCTCTACTCTATCTTAGACCCTAAAACCACCTAAAAACCAGGTCTGTTCTCACTTTCTAGGCCCTCACAAAGACAGATGTGCACACACCTTGTCTGTCTTAAAGACACTGGATGGACTATTTCTATGTTTTCCTCCCTTTTTCCTCTCAAAGCCAGTATTCTGCTCTAACATGGCCTTTAACTGTAAGTTTATTTGATCGATGGAGAGTTAATGTGACATTTACGAGGCTAGATTTAGAAAACAAACCTACACTAACCGTTTCCTTTTAGGGTAAGGACACAGAGAGAGATTAAGTAGACTTTTGAAAAAGTCTTAATAACATCCACACAGTTACTAAATGTTGAGTTCTGCAGATGAATCTATATTAACAGCATGCCATGTGAGTCAGTCCCCACTGATAAAAAAAAAAAAAAAGGTAAAGTGAATCGTGGAGGGTGGGAAATGTAGTATACAACCAGCCATACAGGATGATGCCAAAGACATAACAGGATTAACCTCCTGAGGAGTCCCCCAGGACAAAAATGTGCTTTTTAGCCTCTGTTGACCCCCATTGTAACCTCCAAGACAGTTTCATTATTACTCCAAACAACACTGAAATGACCAAGCTGCTTTCCTTTCTTTTATAAAAAAAGAGATTCATATTGATGCATGACAGAGATCTAAAAAGTAAAACTCATATTTTCTAGTCTAAACTGCACACTACTTTAAGTGCCCTAAGGCGGCTGATTTCGTGCTACATCAGTGAAACTGAATTGCACAATTGAATTCAACTTTAGAATCCAATAAAACACGGGTGCACTTTTATTTCTGACCTAAAACTTTAAAACGGCAAAAAGGGATTACGTAAAATGAAAAAGAATAATGTCCCAACATAATAGATCCTCCTATTTTCATAATAATTTATCCAGCTGCTTCTGAATTCTTCATTGTGAAGCCTTGACATACTCACAACATAGCTTCTAATAATTGTGTTAAGTACTGGAAGAATGAAATATGGGAATTTCACTCACCAAACCTGAAGCAGTGAGTTTAAATAGCTTAGGTCAGGCCTGATAACTCTATTTAAAAAACAAATACAAAATAAAGATTTCTGTGATTCTGTAAGGTTTCATATTTTGTAAGGAGTGAGCCTGAAGTGGCTGCTAAAAAGCATTTTTGTTTAGGTGTGTTCAAGGTTGCTGTTTCAGGGAGGCAGACAACCATTTATGTGATGGACTATTTAGAATCTCTAAGTAACCAGATGTGTTTGTGGAAAACCTGGAAAAAAATGAAAAAGTGAGAACCATGTAAACTAAAACCACAAAGGTTTTTGAGCTCTTCTATAACATTATAAAACTTCTTAAAATTTGCTGCTAATGTTATATGATCCTGGAGTTTTGTGCACTTTAATTTCTGATAGATTTGAGTTTCCTTTGTTTTGGCACTCTAACTGGAACTATGAGCTTTGACCTCAAGCTCACCTTTTATTTGTCCTGGGTCTGCATTTAGCTCATTTGACCTCATAATTCGTAATAGTTAGCCGAGTTTAAAAAAAAGAAATTAATTTAAGTGTACCTAGTTTTGTACCAGAGTGCATTAGTTATCATCTCATGCTACCAGTGGTGACAATGACCCCAACCAAATGCAAAAGTGGAAGTGTTATTAATTTCATTAACACCAAAGCAGCTGAAAATGATTAACAACTCCCTCTGTTACTTAACTGACCAGAAGTTTCTTACTCTGATTTTGTTGAGCGATGTATAAACACATATAAACCACTGACTGGTTTCATTGCAGCAAGAAAACATGCGGAAAGAAACATTCAGACAAATTAACCAAACAAGAAAATGCCTAAACATGTTCATCACAGCAGTTATTTGGGTTTTGCTTGGGGTGAAGGAAAAAAAACAAACCATCCATCAGCAACCATAACTGCACAATTTCCAGGGTTTGACCATAAGTGTGTGGATGTGCAGTCTTGTTCAGCATTGGTTAGAGTTGGCAGCCTGAGCTGCTGGCAAAGAAACACGAGACGGGAACCCAGAAGAGAAATTTAGGGCAAAGTTACAAATATTTCTTCTTTGCTGGAGTCCATAGAAAGCAAAGAGTCATTGAAGCAGTAGCATATGGAACTCATCCATCTTTCCAAGTAAGATAGAGCACCCTGGAACCTCCTACAGTTCTCATGTGTTTGTGCAATAAAGGAGCACCACACATATGGTTTTTTTTGCCCCTCTCCAATATGTACCCATTGCTTTTACCCCTTCTGTTTACCACATTGCTCTTTCAAAGGGCCTTCACTTTGCTGTCAGCTGCTGGCACATGAACACGTTATTGAATCAGTCTGGGCATGTGCTGAAAAATGAGAACCAAAACTGTTACTGTATGTTCAGTATC